AAATCTGATGACCTGAGTCTGATCCTCAGAACCCATGGTGGAAGAGAACAACTCCAAGAGCTATAATCTGACCTCACATGTGTGTATTATACAGACACAATAATAATAAACAAAAATAAGGTTCAATATGTAAAGGTACTTGCCACCCAAGCCTGGTGACCTGAATTCGAGTCCACACAAAGGTGGAAGGAAAGGACTGATTCCATCAAGTTGTCCTCTGATCCCCCCATTATGGGTGTGTATACACGTATGAGTGAGTGTGAGTGCATGCATGTAGAGGTCAGGAGACAGCTTGAAGGAGTCCTTTCTTTCTACCACATAGCTAGCAGGGATCAAACTCAGGTTGTTAGGCGTGCGTATGAGAGTTTTACCTACAGGCATGTATGTGTACCATGGGTAGTACCCATGGCAGCCGAATCCAAGTCTTCTGCAAGAACAATAAGTGCTCTTAAGCCCTAAGTCATCTCTCCAGCCCCGTGGCCCAGAGAACTCTTAACACTGACTTTAGAAATAGCCAAGTCAGAAAACTTAGTGAGACCCTGTGTTACCTGAGCAGTCCAGTGGTGCAAACCTTTAATACCAGCACTCAGGAGGCAGAGGCGGGTGGATCTCTGTAAGTTCCAGGCCAGCCTGGTCTACAACATGAGTTCCAGGCCAGGCAGAGCTACACAGAGACCCTGTCTTGACAAACTAAAAACTAACAGAACAAACAAATAAATAAATAAAACTGTTACCAGGTATGGTGGTACACAACTTTAATCCCAGTACTTGGGAGGCAGAGGCAGGTAGATCTCTCTGAATTCTAGGCCTACCTAGACAACACAGCGAGACCCTTCTCAAAAAGGAAAACAAACAGTAACAAGAGTGCTGGGCATGTAGTTCAGTGGCAGCGTACTTGTCTAGCACGTGGGAGGCCTGGATTAACCAGCAGTACCATAAAAACAACAACAATAAAACAAATGATGCACACCAGAGAGAACTTCCTTCTGAGCCAAGCTGGGTAACGTTCCCTGTTCCTTTCACATTTACAAGTCACTTCTGCACCCCTAAGTCTTAAGGAGCACCTACCTTGCTAAGCACTTGGCTTCGATCAGCAATGTCTATATATACAGCTTCCACGTGTTTCCATGTCTCAGGCTCCAGTTTATGCACCTGCAAGAAAACAGGCGAGCACTTGTTATGCACGTGCAGCTCTGTTAGAGACAGACGTCCTTACCTGAAACGACAGCCAGAGACAGATCTCCCCACACCACTGGTGGGACATTCCTACTAGTAAAGAATTATTCAAGGGTTAAACATCTACAATCTGAAAACCCAAAACGATTCCAAATCTAAAACATGGCATAGTGAGCTGCCATGAGGCCACAAATAGAAAATTTCACAACTGATTTCATATGGTGGGCTACAGTTAAATGTAAGCAGGCTAAAGTGTCAAGTAAAATACCTTCAAACTGTGTATATAATGTATATATAAAACACAAATGATTTGTTTATATTTGGGTCCCTCCCCCAATATATCTTGTTACTTGCATACCTCCCAAAATCTAAAGTCTGAAAGCATTTCAGATAAGCACGACTTAAGCTTACAGTTGGTACAGAGTTATTCAAATGTGCCAGAGATTGGACAGCAATGGGATCTGTCTTTAGACTCAGTTCACTTCAGCAGGCTCCACCAAATACCTGCACTGTTCCCACTGCACCCTGGGAGAGGACTCAACACCCCTGGATTTGCTGCCTTTTCACAAATTCAATGTACAAAAGGTTACAATAAAGAATAACATTTCTGGCTGGCCGGCGGTGGCACACGCCTTTAATCTCAGCACTCGGGAGGCAGAGCCAGGTGGATCTCTGTGAGTTCCAGGCCAGCCTGGGCTACAGAGCAAAATCCAGGACAGGCACCAAAACTATACAGAGAAACCCTGTCTTGAAAAACGAAGAAAAAAAAAAGAGTAACATTTACTTTAGCTCATCTCCCACCCCAACCTCAACTCTAGTAATAGACAATACAGTCCGTGTGCAGATTTTCCTTTAATACCAACAATAGCATATATATATATATATGGGTTCATAGATGCTCTTCTTAGCTTTATTTCATTTTTATTCATATGTATGTGTGTGTTTGTGTGTCTGCAATGTGGGTGTGTGGGGGAGCCGTCAGGGGCCAGAAGAGGGTGTTGGGGCCCTCAGCTGGAGACACAGATGTTGTAAGCTACCCAGTGTGGGTACTTTGAACTGAACTCAGGCACTGTGGAAGAGCAGTAAGAGCTCTTAACCAGGGGCTGAAGAGATAGCTCAGTGGTTAAGAGCACTGAATGCTCTTCCAGAGGACCTGAGTTCAGTTCCCAGCACCCACATGGCAGCTCAAAACTGTATGTAACGCCAGTTCCAGGGGACTCAAAACCCATGGCAAAACAGTAATGCACATAAAATAAAAATTAAAAAAAAAAAAAAAAAGAGCTCTCAATGGCAGAGCTATCTCTGCAGCCCCGCATCTCATCTTTTCTCTCTTCTTTCAGACGAGGTCTCTGTTCTGTAGCCCTGGCTGTCCTGGAACTCAATGTGTAGACCAGGCTGGCCTCGAACTCAGAGACCCGCCTGGCTCTGCCTCCCTTTTGAGTGCTGGGATTAAAGGTGTGTGCCACCGCCGCCCGGCTTTTTTAATTTCTTTTTCAAATTTTTTTAACATACTCGATCCCTAACTCCTATTACCACCCTTTGCATCCTCCCACCCCTCCCACCCAACTTGGAGATTATTTCTTCTTCTTTCCTCATCCAGTGCAGTTTGTGGACTACTGGGAGTGGGGGCTGCCTGCCCCACTGTCTGGTCAACCTGCCATCTTTAAAGAAAACTGGCCGGGCAGGGGTGTCTCAAAAAAGAAAAAAGAAGAGAAAACTGAGTCTATGTGATGGCTATTCTTGGTTATCAACTTGATTACATCTGGAATTAACCAACCCCAATGGCTGGGTACCCCTGTGAGGGATTTTCTTTAATTAAATCATCTGAAGTGGGCAGGTCCTCCTTTAATCTGGACCACACCTTCGGTGGCAGCCTATCCAAAGGACATGAAGAAGGAAGCACTCGCTCTTTGCCTGTTTGCCCTCTCTTTCTGAGGGGCAATTAGAGTGAAAGTCTACTCCTTCACCGGCACTAGAGTCTACTTCTTCAGGATTCCCACGGATACTGACCACCAGCTAAGTCATCCAGCCTTGTGGACTGAACAACTCCTGGATGCTCAGACTGACTGGACCACAGCCTGTAAGCCCGTCTAATAAACTCCCTCCCCTTTTTTCCTCTCTCTCTCTGTCTCTGTCTGTCTCTGTCTCTCTCTCTCTATTCTGTCAGTCCTGTTCCTCTAGAGAACCCTGACTAACAACATGCTCTCACTTTCTCAGTAGCAATCAAATGCCAATAGCTCCTCAGTTAGTGGAGGGATGGGTTTGTTTGCTTGCTTGCTTTTGAGACATGAGAACAGAACCATGTAAGCCCTGACTGTCCTGAACTCTCTCTGAGGACCAGGCTGGCCTCAAATTCAGAGAGCTGCCTGCCTCTGCTTCCTGTGTGCTAGAATGAAAGACGTGTGCCATCATGCCTTGCTAGGGTTTCTCTGTGTAGCCCTGGCTGTCCTAGAACTTACTCTGTAGCCCAGGCTGGCCTTGAACTCACATAGTTATGCCTGCCTCTGCCTCCCGAGTGCCGGTATTAAAGGCGTGCGCCACCACTGCCCGGCTTCCCCCAGCTTTCTAATGGTTGCACGGTATGTCACTGTTTGGCTGCACAATCTATTGGTGCCCCACTGATAGGGTCTTTCATTGTTTTGGATTTGTGCCAAATCTCCTTGTATGCGTTATTTCACAGGTGAAAAAACAGTCTCACACATGCCTAGATGTAGAATTGTGAGTTGAAAAGAGCAGGAATATACTTTAAATTTGGAGAAGTACTGCAATTATAATTTATTTATTTACTTGGCTTTTCGAGACAGGGTTTCTCTCTGTAACAGTCCTGGCTGTCCTGGAGCTTGCTTTGTAGATAGAGCAGGCTGGCCTCTGCCTCCTGAGGGCTGGGATTAAAGTGCCGGCACAATTATGATGTTTTAAAGACATCGTTCCTGGGTATCGGAAACTGCATTTTAGACCAATCCCAGCTCTACAGGAAAGCCCAGCAAAGAATCTTAGAGATGACATTCTGCAAATCAATGACAGGAAACTGCACTGTAGGGCAGTCTGGAGAAGCCTTTCTAGCCAGGCAGAAGAGAAGCACAGAGAGGACCCCGAGGCAGGAGGCAGAGGTTACAGGGCGGAGAGATCTGGCAAGGGCCTGGGGCTCGAGAGGTGATACTTACATTCTCCTGGGTGCCAAGATCCGGCTTGTGCCAGGTTTCAATTTTAATCAGAAAGTCTTCTTTCATGTACTCATTCTGGAAGAGGGAACAAATACCTAAGGTCGGAGCTAGAGGGTCACCACTCCCATAGCTGGGGGGTCACACAGCCTGAAGTCCTGGGTGGCCCCAGAACTAGGTCTGCCTCGCACAGATGATCACCCCAAGTTTACAGAGGAAGAAAATGAAGTTCGAAATCTTAGGTGACTTGGCTGAGGCCAGAGCTATCGTACAGAGAGGCCCAAAGCCCCTCCTTGTCTGAGTTTAGAATTCAGTGTTTAACCAGTCTTCCATACGACTTCATGCACAGAATGCAAATGTACCCAGCAGCCCACAAAGTCTGTAGCTGAGGAAAGTCTTCACGCTGGCCCCTTTCTCTACATCAAGTCCTTTGCTGAGGCCAGCCCTCTATGCAGATTTGGCCCCCTCCCTTGGTGCTTTTCAAAAACTGTAACACCTGTTTAAAAAACATTTAATCAAAGGAGCTCCATGAAGGAGGAAAAGAGCCCCTTGTTCCCTGGCAGGGATCAGTGCTGCAGCAGGGACAAGCACTTGGCGGACTGTGCTGAAGAGTGAGAGCTGGGGGATAAGGGCTGGTTCTGGAAGAGCAAGCTTGGTGATGTCACAATGTTGCCAATGGTCAGTGCTCACTGGAGTCAGCAGATGCCCAAATGGGACAGGAATGTCACATTCAGGCTGGCTGAACTGAGACGTCTGTACAGCCCTGGATAGGCATGACCTTAGGGAACAAGGGAGAGCCTCAATTCATTCTGTACCTCAGAGACTCAGAGTCAGGTCTGACCTGGCCAAGCCACCATGAGTCAATGCAGTTAAAGCACTGCCTGGCAAGATCCTCGTTAAGACTGAAACGCTTGAGCCTCGACACCCCCAGCATCACCGGAGGGGAACGAGAACAGCCAGAACATCTAGTGCAGGTATGCCTTTATTTCTCCTTTTCTTACACATCATCTAGAACTCCAATCCTCCTACCCCCACCCCTCCCTGCCAGAAATACTTACTGTAATAACTGCTCCGAGGCAAGGACATGGAAAAAAGAAAGAAAGAAAGATTAATGAAGAGACCATGAAGAGCAAAGACTTCTCCACTCCCCATGGCTTCCTCCATACTGACCTCTAGCCCCAGCTTGCATTAGGAAAGCCTCAGTGCATCAACCCCTCCTTCCCCCAAATTCATTCAAAGTCCCAAGGGACCAAATCTGGGATTTAATTAAGATGACGCCTATATGGGCTTCTTCGGACTCTCACTGATAGAACAAGGGAAGGGTGGTCTCTGATCAGCTGACGCCCTGAGGCCCAATCAATCTCCCATGAGAGAATCACTTGGGTGCCCCCACCCCCGGGGGACACAGAGCAGGGTCTTCCAAGCCAGGCTGTCTTTCTGATGGTCACCTCTTTCCTCACACTGTAACCAAACCTCGAATGCTCTATGCTCCTGCCACTGTAATGGGATCCCTCGGAAAGCACAGGTCAATTATTTATCAGAGAAAATGACTGCATCTTCCATGTCACTGGGGAAGAGCCCAGCTCTCCTCCGACAGCAGCTCAGTTCATTCTGTACCCTCCCCTGCGTGCAATCCCAGTTTCTGGTAATGCATATGCTGTTTCTGGAGTATGCAGAGGGCCAACAAACTCCATCACCCCAAAAAACAAACAAAAAGGTAAGACTAACACTCATGCCATGGAATCGGGGAGCTTACGGCACAAGGGCTATAAATTACCTTGTGCACAAACAGCCCAAGATTGTCAGGAATTTCCCCGAGCCCAACCAAAGACACTGGAAGCACCAGATTAGGATTAAACTAGCAACTCCTCTATTAGCACCCTGAGAAAGTCACTGGGGACAATAGAAATAATGGGTACAAATATGCATCCAAAGACGCCAGTCTGGCAGAGACTCTCATGTTGCCATAGAGACAGTAGCTTCAGGCTGACCTGGTGTGATGACCCTGGACATTAAGCTTCTCCTACCAGCTACCATATTTGGACTCCACATTCTCTAAGACACCCTCTCCTAGTCTGGCCTCTGTAGGACACAAGAATCTGCTGCCTTGACCAAGCTGACTGACTGCACCATCACACTGTGTTTTCCTACTTTAATTTCTTTTCTATGTGGAAGATTCCCAAGGAAAGACCGTCCTGATCAGCAAATAGTGTCTAGTTTGACCCATAATTCTGTACTTCACTACCACTGCAGAGTCGGATGTTTGAGGTTTTTATGTTAGTATGTGAGCCACTGAGAAACAGATCCACCACATTCTGAAAAAATTGGGTTTCTAAACCCCGGAGGGTGAGGACCCTGCTCTCAGCCTTTAGTATCAACTCAGGTGACTAACTTCCCTCTAATCCTATCCAATCTCCCTTCCCTCCCAAACGTCTCTGTATCCACATCAACTACACAGGAAAATGGGGTTTTCCCAATAAGACTAATAATGCATCTTAGAGGGATTTTTTGAGACAGGGTCTTGCTATGTATGTACCCCAGTCTAGCCTTGAAGTTGTGACCCTCCTGCCTCATCTTCCTGAATGCTGAGTTACAAATATTTACTGCTATGTCCAGTTTCTTAATATGATATTTTAAAAGCCTGATTTAGTGGTACCATCTGCTACTGAGGAAGAAGACAAGGGAACATATTTCTCCTCTTCACATTTTCATTTCTCAGCCTGACCTATGGGTTTCAGGAGAAAAGAGATGGAAATAAGTGAGAGAACAGTAGACTTGATGATGATGGAGCACACTAAATCCCTTTTCACCGCTCCCAGAATAAGGCTGGAGCCATCCCAAAGGCAGGGGGGTGGGGTGACTCCACACTCCTTTCTCCAACTCTCCTCAAACTTAGATGTACTCAGGACAAACTAAAATGCTGCCACTAGTAATCTCTGTCCCGCTGGCCTCCAGGGAGGATGAGAAGGAACCCCTCATCTGTTCTATCTCGTATTTTAAAAGAGGAGGTACCCAGATGAACAGGTCTAGGAGTCGGCATCCGTATCGAGTGGATCCCACTAGGAAGCTGGTGCTCCTAAGAAAGTACCTCCCCCCCATCTCTTCATGGAGGATTCTTTCTTGTGTCAAGGATGGATGTGTGAACTAGCGTTACTGCGCAGGAAACTGCCATGCCAGATGCAGCACATTCTCCCAAGGGTTACACAGCAGACAACGCATCCCTCAGCACAAGCTATGTACCCAGAAACCCATGCTACGTCTGCCTCAAGCTGACTACGATTCTTACAGCGCATGCTCAACATGACTATTAGACATCAAGGAAAGTCACCTTTGTCCCTATGCCAGACACACCCTGCCATACTCCACTTTTTTTTCCTCCTTAATTTACTGTGCTGGATCAGATCCAGTGCCTTGGGCTGGAGTAAGCACTTTACCAGTTAACTACACCCCCAAACCTGATCTGGACTATCAGGGGTGGTTTACAGGGTAGGGATGGGAATGTGAAGGGACAGACGTGAAAAACAGAGTCTTTCTACATAGACAGACTGGCCTTAAACTTGCAGAAATCCAGCTGTCTGTCTCCCAGGTGCTAGGATTACAGGATTGTGCCACCATACCTAGTTCTTGCATACTGTTTTTTAAAATCATGAATCAAAGCTCAGCATGGTGCTACAGGCCTATTATCCAAGTACTTGGAAGGTATGAAAAAAGGAGGATTAGGAGGAGTTCCAGGCCAGTCCCAAACTCTTCTAAGACCAGCCGGGGCTACTTAAGACCACCCTTCAAACACACACACACACAACTAATTCTAAGCATGTAACAGTTTCCTGTCCAGTGCATACAGAGTAGGAAAATTTGCATTTTCAGCTACAACAATGAAACTGTCCACAGCCTACGGACCACCACTGATTGTGTATCTCCTGATGAAAGGTCCTTGAACTTATATAGGGCCATGGAAGCCTGGAGTGGGCAATGACTTCAGTTACTCCCAAAGTCCACAAGATAAGGACACACCTGGGTCACATAAGGATTACATGCTTATCAGATGCAATCTAGAGAATAAACAGCCAGGGAAGCAGTACCGGTGAGCAGAGACTGGCAAGACTAAAGCCAGACAGTCTGTGCCCACAATGGAAAGCTAGCAGGAGGAAAGAACGCTGACCTTGGAGGTGGCTTCAGTGGACATTTAGGGTTCCCTGGCATGTGAATCAGTGCCAGCATAGTCTAAGAAACCTACTCCTAAGCCAGGGGTCATGAGTCACACCTGTAACCTCACACAAGAGGGCTGCTACAAGTTTAAGGCTAACTGGGGCTATACAGAGAGTTCTAGGCTGCTGAACTACAGGCTGAGACCCTTCCTGAGGAAGGAAGGAGGAAGAGGAAAGGGAGAGGGAGAGAGTTGAGGGGAGCTATCTCTAGATAGTCCCTCAGACCTCAGAATCTCAGAAAGCTGGGTCCAGGCTACTCAGAAAGAATCCCAGAATGTGTTCTAGAATAGAAAGTATCTCTACAGAGACTCCAATCTTGCCTTCCTTTCTAAAACTGAACCAGAGATGATTCTACCCCCCTGCTACATAGTGAATTTCCTATGTAGACCAGGCTGGCCTCAAATGCACGAAGATCCAACTGCCTCTGCGTCTTAAGTGCTGGGATTAAAGGCATGCGTCACCAAGTTCAATGTGCCTCCCAAATATTTCCGATCTGTAGTTTATAAAATTCATGGATGCAATGCCCACAGACACTACTGGCCAGCTATACATTCACATGATAGGCTATTATGCTATTATAAATATTAAGAAACAACAGGGGAGCCTGCATGGGACCAAAGTAGGCCCGCTGCATGTGGGTGACAGTTGTGTGGCTTGGTCTGTCTTGGGGCCCCTGGCAGTGGGACTAGGATTATCCCTGGTGCATGAACTGGCTTTCTGGAGCCCATTCCCTATGGTGGGACACCTTGCTCAGCCTTGATGTAGGGCGGAGGGACTTGGTCCTGCCTCAACTTGATAGCCAGGCTTTGTTGACTCCCCATGGGAGGTCTTACCCTCTCTGAGGAGGGGATGGGAGACCAGGGAGAGGGGGGAGAACTGTGGCTGGTATGTAAAATGAAATAAAATTTAAAATTAAAAAAAAAATAGAAACAATAGGGTGCTGGAGAGATCGCTCAGTGGTTCAGAGCACTCCATGCTATTTCAGGGGAACTGGATTCAGTTCCCAGCACCCACAAGGCAGCGCACAATCACATGTGAACCTAGTTCTGGGTGATCCAATGCCCTCTTCTAGCTCTGTAGGCACCAGGAGTGGACATGGTACAAATATATACATACAGGCAAAACAACATACACATTAAAAAATTAAAAATAATTTTGAAAAAAATTAGCAATTTTTTTGCCAGGTAGTGGTGGTGCACACCTTTAATCCCAGCACTTGGGAGACAAAGGAAAGCAGATCTGAGTTTGAGGACAGCCTGGTCTACAGAATGAGTTCCAGAGCCAAGGCTACACAGAGAGACCCTGTCTTGAAAAGCAAAAACAAACAAACAAGAAAATCAAAATTGTCAAACTAACCCCAAATGAGAGGAGTTTGTTCTGTGCTGTCTCTGGCTGTGAATATCAACTTAGCTAAGTAGTACGGATAACACCGACACACGCTCCTGAGCCTTAGGGACCCCCCACCCCCATCCCTTCACCGGCTTATTCTGAAAAGTAAACACAAACCCTGACTCACCCACCTCCGGCTCCCTGTCCACTTCTGCCCACCTCGGGCCCAAATCTCAGCTCTGGGCAGCTCCATACTCACCGGTTCTGCAGTAAGGGTAGGCATTCCAGGCTTTCTCATGTATATTCAGGGCTCCTTCTGGGGCCAGCATTCGAACAAACGTGGGTACTTTGCTGTAGTGAGAAAAGAGGTGATGAGCAAAAAATGGAGGCAAGAGAAAGCAGCTAAGTTTGCACAGCAGTCCTCGGCCCCTGCTTTT